TGCTACTGCTGTCACTGACCCTTCCTTTGAGTCGTCTGCTGCGTCTGCCCTTGTCACTGAGCTTGTCGACTTTGCTGCGCGCTGTCGTCTAGACTACGCTGCTCGTCTTGTCCCTGAGTCTGAGTCCGCCTGTCCTCCGTCCGTCGGGGGTGAGTGTGCCCTTGGCACGGACGTCCTTGAGGACAGGCAGGAGGAGTTCCAGTGTCTGGCCGCCGCTTCACCTCGTCTCGCGTCTGTACTGCTAGCCCCTGAGGGAGACCCGGATGCACTAGACATCCCGACTCCGCGTTCTTACGCGGAGGCCGTAGAGGGTCCCTACTCCTCTCAGTGGCAGGCAGCTATGGATGCAGAGATGGCTTCCTGGAAGTCCACAGGCACCTACGTTGACGCGGTTCCCCCTCCTGGGGCGAACATCGTCAGTGGCATGTGGATCTTCAGGGTGAAGCGGCCGCCGGGCTCGCCGCCTGTCTTCAAGGCGCGTTACGTGGCTCGTGGCTTCAGTCAGCGGCAGGGAGTTGACTACTTTCAGACCTTCTCTCCCACCCCGAAGATGACCACTCTTCGGGTGCTGCTGCACATTGCCGCTCAGCGCGACTACGAGCTTCACTCTCTCGACTTCAGCACTGCGTTCCTGCAGGGTAGCCTGCACGAGGAGATCTGGCTGCGCCGTCCGCCTGGCTTCACTGGGACTTTCCCTCCTGGCACCCAGTGGAGCCTCCGACGGCCAGTCTACGGTCTCCGCCAGGCACCGCGTGAGTGGCACGACACACTGAGGACTACGCTTGCGGCTCTTGGGTTTGCTCCTTCTACTGCTGACCCGTCGCTGTTTCTTCGCACCGACACTTCCCTGCCGCCGTTCTACATCCTCGTGTACGTCGACGACTTGGTCTTTGCCACAGCGGACACTGCTGGACTCGCCTACGTGAAGTCCGAGCTGCTGAAGAGACACACGTGCACAGACCTGGGTGAACTGCGCAGCTACCTTGGCTTGCAGATCACTCGGGACAGAGCACGCCGCACCATTACCCTGACTCAGTCACACATGGTGCAGCAGGTCCTTCAGCGCTTCGGCTTCACGTACTCCTCGCCTCAGGCCACTCCTCTGCCTACTCGCCACTCACTCTCAGCTCTGCCTTCGGATGAGTCCGTAGAGTCGAGTGGTCCGTATGCAGAGCTTGTTGGCTGCCTCATGTACCTGATGACCTGCACACGACCTGACCTTGCATACCCTCTGAGCATCCTTGCACGCTATGTTGCTCCAGGGAGACACCGACCAGAGCACATGGCTGCAGCGAAGAGGGTATTGCGCTACCTGTGCAGTACGTCGGGCATGGGGCTAGTGCTTGGAGGGCGGAGTCCAGTGGTCCTTACTGGGCACGCAGACGCTTCTTGGGCTGACGACCAGGCTACGCAGCGGTCGTCACAGGGTTACACCTTCAGCCTTGGTTCCGGCTCTGTCTCGTGGCGGTCTACTCGCTCGTCTTCGGTTCTCGGCTCCAGTTGTGAGGCTGAGATCTACGCCGGGGCCATGGCTGCACAGGAGCTTCGCTGGCTCACCTACCTGCTGACTGACCTTGGAGAGCTGCCTCGTTCTCCTCCAGTGCTGTACGTAGACAACAAGGCCATGTTGGCCTTGTGTCGAGAGCAGCGCTTGGAGCACAGAACGAAGCACATTGCTCTCCGCTACTTCCTTGCTCGTGAGCTGCAGCAGCGTGGTCAGTTGCGACTTGCTTACGTGGCCTCTGAGGCCAACACTGCTGATGTGTTCACCAAGGCACTTGCGCCTTGCGACCATCAGCGCTTTTGTACCCAGCTGGGTCTTGTACCTGTCTTGCCTCACTTGCTCTCTTCTTGACTTTACTTGTACCTTGACATATATATACCTGCTCTTGCTTGTCTAGTTTTATATATATGTCTGTACTCCTGCATGTGAACTGGCCTCTGGCCTTACTCTTGTGCTCGGACTGTGTGGTGACTTTGTGATCCACCCTGAGCTTGCTTTGTTTTACTTGACTGGTCTTGTGACCCCTTGTTCTCCCCCACTTTGCCTATGGGGGTGTGTCAGATTATTATAGCTGATGCATGTTTGTAGGCTATAGTGGGGTAGCACATATGGGGTACAGTTTGCTAGGGTTGTATTTGTACCCAACTCTGACTTAGTCAATCCATTCCTGTTTATCACTTTCACAACGGTAGCGGCGGCGGCGGTTCTTGCTATCGGCAGCGGCGGCGGTGGCGGCCCCGGCAGTGGTGGCGGCGGCTGTTACGGCGCGACGGCTGCTGGTGCTTGGGCGGCGACGGCGGGGCGGCAGGGCCGTGAAGGAGCCGAGAAGGGGCTGCTAAGGGCTGCGAAGGGGCCACGAAGGGCCGTGAAGGGGGCGCGAAGGGCGGCGACGGGGCCGAGAAGGGGCCGTGAGGGAGCGCTAAGGGCGTCGACGGGGCCGAGAAGGGGCCGCGAGGGGCCGCGAAGGGCGGCCACGGGGCCGAGAAGGGGCCGCGAGGGGCTGCAAGGGGCCGCGAATGGTCGTGAGAGGGACCGCGAAGGGCCGCGGAGGGGCCGCGAGGGAGCCGCGAAGGGGCCGCGAGGGGCCGTGAGAGGGGCCGCTACGGGGCCATAAGAGGGCGCGACGGGCCGCTAAGGGCAGGGGACGCGACGGGAGGGCAGGCACACGGGGCGCGACTCGGGCAGGAGCGAAGCGCGCTCCGGGCAGGAAAAAAAGAATACGATTTTCGTGGTGGGCCCTAGGAAACGTTCCCCATAGGGAACCTGCTCTATACCATGTGAAAGAACGAGGAATGAAATGACTAGGTGAAATGTGGGTACAAGTAGAAAACGTAGAAATGTTGTACCCTATAGTATCTACCCCACTACAGCTTAGATAGACTATAGCATATAAACTTGACACTTCTACCAAACCGTCGAAAACTTCCCGTCGACGGCGAGATCGGCTGCGCCTAAGCGAGGGCGGGGCCTTTCTCTTCGGCAACACTATCTTTCGCCTTAGTCTTCCGCCGCGTTTATCCTCGACTTTGTCGACCCCGCTAATCTTTAGCGGATTTAGGCCAGCGGGCCTAACAGGTTAAATTGTTTTCATGTAGTCTTATTTTAGGCGATACAGCTCCGAAAAGTTCGCGTCAGCTGGTTCGGTCCAAACCATCCCCGAGTCACCCCCGCACCATTCGCCACACTTCCGAGCTCCGTTTCCCGAAGTCCTCTCAATTCATTATTTAGGGCGTGGAAGATCCCTACGAACATGTGTTTGGTTGCTCTTGTGGTCGAACATCTGGCCTCGTCAATGGCTTGCGACATCTTTCGCTGGGTAACACGTGAAACCCCACAGTGCAAATCAGAGAGGTTTTAAGGTTTCGGTGAGGGCCTTGGTCGCTCTCAAGCGAGTAGCTCTGAGTTCGTCAATCACTCGAAGCAAATTGGATTGCACCACATCACCCACGACAACACCTGGTTTCATGTCGCGTGATTCTTCTTACGTCGCCAATCTTTGTCTTCCCCTCGTGGACCCAAAAACGTGGGGCGACAAGGGAGCACGGGCTCTGAAACACGAGTGCTTCTAGCAATTTCCGTCACTCGATTAACGATGCTTAATGGCGAGAGTCGCAACCTGTGTTACTGTCGCAACTGCGCGACCAATGCCTTGTTCACAGGGATCTTCCACGCTCTAAGAGCACTCGATAATCGCTGATTCCGCGCACTTTCCGCAATCATAGGCCCGCTTCTAGCGATAATATCTTCACACTCCTGGCGAGCACAGCAGAGGATGGCAATCGACATGAGGAAAAAGCTGGCAGCGCGTTCTTTCGATTGATCGCAAACGACATGGTTAGTAGTTACGATAGACTAGGTTCAGTATCGTTGGGAAGTGTAAATGGTGCGCTGGTCCAGTCACAGCGGCAGCAGCGTCACGCGGTGCACGTCGGTGCTGCGTACCTCGCCTGGCGTGCGCCCACTGCCCTTCCGCCAGGCGCACCTGCAGCCGCCTGGGCGGAACTGAAGCGGCAGGTGTGCGTGTGACGAGGCGGGTGAGATGCGTGCATTCACGCGCGAGCACTGTTGGCGGCCGCCACCAGTGGTGACGGGATGCGTGGGACTGCGGTGGTACGGAGTGACGCGAGGTGGGTTGGTGAAACAAGTCTACGGCGCAGCGGCGCACGGCGCGGCTGGCCTGGCCGGCCTAGCAAGGAGAGCGGCGCCGTAGCTTGTTGAGTAGAAGAGAGGAGAGTAGTCGCGGCTGCAGGAGAGAGCTAGGAGAGTGACGCCGTGACTCAGAGATGTAGACGAGAGAGTAGATAGGAGAGATCCGAGCTAGGAGAGAAGTATCCAAGATTATAGAATAGAAGAAAGATGATCCAAGAAGAATCAGGAAGAAATATTTATGCTAGCAGAAGAGAAACGTGACTTGGATAGGAAAACCTTGTCGCTACGTCTTTGGCATAGGATCTTGGCATAGCGCCTCAATGCTATGCCCTGCTGGAGTCTAAGGTATGACTGGGATAGGAGAGTGTTCTCGAGGCTAGCAAGTGCAGAGTTCGGAGCTAGCTAAGAGATATAACTTCTCCCATTTGGCGATTCCCATGCATGCTCGCATGGCAAATCCCGTCTTGTTGCAGTGGGCCATCCCCGCGCGCACACACCCACACCCGATCACCGCCCTGCTCCTACCAACCACCGTGCGTATCATCGCGCCGCTGCCCATCTGCCCGCTATGACTCGATCGGGGGGGGGGGGGGGGGGGCACCAGTCCGCCGAACGCGCATTCACACTGCATCACCTCGCATCGTGGGACTGCGCTGGCACGGAGTGATGCGAGGTGATACGGGAAATAGGAACGGGAAATAGGCAGGCGGAAATAGGGACGATGGAAGTATGCACGACGAGAGTAGGGACAGAGAGCGTAGGGACGGGGAGAGTAGGGACGGGGAGAATAGGGACGGGGAGAATTGGGCCGGGGAGAATTGGGCGGGGGAGAGCAGGGACGGATAGATTAGGGACGGGGATAGTAGGGACGGGGAGAGTAGGGACGGAGAGGGTAGGGACGGGGAGACGAGATTAGGGACGGGGAGAGCAGGGATGGGGAGAAGACAATAGGCACAGGGAGAGTAGGGACAGGGGCAGTAGAGATGCAGAGAATAGGGACGAGGAAAGTAGGGACGGGGAGAATTGGGCCAGGGAGAGAAGGGATGGGGAGAGTAGGGACGGGGAGAGTAGGCACGGGGAGAGAAGGGAAGGGGAGAGTAGGGACAGGGAGAGTAGGGATAAAGAGAGAATGGACAGGGATAGTACTAGGGACAGGGAGAGTAGGGATTAGGAGAGAAGCTTAGTTGCGGAAGACGCATCTAGCGTCTTAGGCGCGTCCGTCTAGACGCAGCGTCTAAGATGCTAGACGCTAGACGCAAGACAGGTCAAGCGTCTTCCGCAACTGAGAGAAGGGATGGGGAGAGTATGGATTAGGAGAGAAGGGACGGGGATGGTAGGGACTAGGTGTGGGGAGAGTAGGCACTGGGAGAGAAGGCACGGGGGAATTAGGGACAGGGAGAGTAGGGATTAAATTGAGAAGGGACAGGGATAGTACTAGGTACGGGGAGAGTAGGGACGGGGAGAGTATGGATTAGGAGAGAAGGGACGGGGATAGTAGGGGCGGGGATAGTAGGCACGGGGAAAGTAGGGACGGGGGACTAGGCATGGGGAGAGTAGGCACGGGGAGAGTAGAGACGGGGAGAGTAGGGACAGGGAGAGTAGGGACGGGGATAGTAGGGACGGGGATAGTAGGGGCGGGGAAAGTAGGGACGGGGAGAGTAGGCACGGGGAGAGTAGGGACGGGGAGAGTAGGCACAGGGGGAGTAGGGAAGGGGAGAGTAGGGACAGGGATAGTACTAGGGACGGGGAGAGTAGGGACTGGGAGAGTATGCATTAGGAGAGAAGGGACGGGGATAGTAGGCACGGGGAAAGTAGGGACGGGGGACTAGGCATGGGAAGAGTAGGCACGGGGAGAGTAGGCACAAGGAGAGTAGAGACGGGTAGAGTAGGGACAGGGAGAGTAGGGATTAAGAGAGAAGGCTGGTGAAACCAGTGGTCACCTCTAGTGAGGATTGTTGCGAGTTCTCAAGAAGTTCCTCACTCTCCATTTCATGGGATGAGGGTGGACCTTAGGCTGGTGAAACCAGTGGTCACCTCTAGTGAGGATTGTTGCGAGTTCTCAAGAAGTTCCTCACTCTCCATTTCATGGGATGGGGGTGGACCTTAGGCTGGTGAAACCCGTGTTCACCTCTATCCCTTCTTACCGGTGTAATGCCTTTCTGCCAGTGCCCTTAAAGCTAACCCTCATCTTTGGTCTATTCCTTGATCTCCACGCGCTGAATGCCGGTTTGTGTTTGAAGGCGATTTGTGAGTCGACGTAAAATCATCTCAAGGACAGAATGATCTTCATTTCCCCGGGCGCCCTTGCAGCTCTTCCTCTCATCTGGCCTGTGCATTGACCTCTCATTGCAACATGCCCATTCCATCTTGGAGGCGCATTTACAGAGCATCTTTTTCCCTTCTTACCGCCGTCCCCCTGACGCCCTTGCACCTATCCCTTTCCTCTAGGCATTCCCTTGAGCTCTCCTTGCCGAATACCGTTTGTGTTTCAGGCCACTCCCTCTTACCAACCGCTAGGTCATCTTCCCTTGGCGACTTTGCAGCTCTTCCTTTTCTCCAGCTCAACCCTGATCTCACCTCACCACCTGCCACTTTGTTCATGAGCCGCCCCAGAGACTTTTTTTATTTCTTCTTACCACCTTTCTATTTGCCCTTGCGCCTTTCTCCCTCCTCGCCGCATGCCGGTTTGGCCTCTCGTTAACCAACTAGTGGCGCAGAGCTCGTGCTGCACGATAGGGGGAAACAGGGGCGAAGGGGGAGAAGGTGGCGGAGGGTAAGAACGGGGCGGAGGTGGAAAAGGGTTGTAAGGGGGAAAGCAGCAGAGCGGGCGATGAGGAACTTGCACGCTGACTGCAGCTGCAGGTATGTGGCATGTATGGATGAGGAATTTGTATGTATGTATGAGCATTCCTGCAAACTCTTAATTGCACCTATGTGCCATGCGATGATCATTGATGTCAGGGCTTTTTCCAGCCAATGCATGCTCGTGCAATTACTATGCATCTGAACATACACGTGCCATCTTCAGACCCTTGTGAACACCAGCCTCAGAAGTCGTTCGCTTGACATCTGAAACACACACATGTATTTCTCAACACCTTGTGCGCACCAGCCAGCCGATATCGCCAGTTCTTGTTGCTGCATCATTTGGGCTATGCATTCCACCGGCCCTTATGACCCCCCTCTTTATTATGCACGTTTCTTTGCCCGTTAATCACGTCACATGGCATCACGTGGCATAACGCATCATATGGACATGGCAGGCCACGTCATGGTGCATGATATGGTCACATCATGGCATGGCATGTCAGGGCATGACACGTCATGTCACGTCATTTTGCATCATCTTGTCACGGACCATTGTATGTATTGGCATGAGAGCAGTAGGAGGAGGATGCAGCATTGGCACAGCAGCTGCAGCAGTCAGAAGCGCATGCCATGCTGCAGCAGCTGAGTGGGCGACAGGCGCCACAGCAGCAGCAAGGGGGGATGGGTGGTGGGGCCCATGGTCAGTCAGCAATGTCATGCAGGTGAGTGGAGTGTGGTGTGGTGTGGTGTGGTGTGGTGCCATGCGTTGAAGCACCTGGTATTGTGTGCGGAACGAGCAAGGAGTGGTTGGTGGGAAACATACAGGCGAATGCGGTGCAGTGCGATGTGGTGCAGTGCGATGTGGTGTAGTGCAGCACGCTATCCTGGGCTGTGATGCCATCAAACGCTTACCACTTATTTCAGTGCTAGTAAACACCTCACTCATTCCGATGCACGAGTCGACCCCCTCAAGTACCTGTTCTCCTTTGCTCTCCTTGCGTAGCTTCATCCCCCTCCCATCCACCACACTCCACATTTCACCAGTACGAGTCAGGCCAAGGCATGCTCATTCATTCTCATGCCGCAGGTGACTCTTGAGTCTGCTAGATTTGTTCCTCATTTATCTCTCGTCCCCTCCACACTCCACACCCCACACCCCACACCCCACACTCCACATTCCATACTCCACACACTCCACACTCCAAATTCCACACTCTCCACACCCTACACTCCACACCCACTCCACCCTCCACATTCCACACTCCACACAATCTACACTCCACGCCCCTCCAGTACAAGGACCCATCACACCAGGCCAAGGCATGCTCGTTCATTCCCCTGCAGCAGCTCGAGAAAGTTTGCCACAGGGGGGATCGTCACATCACAGATCCTGGTTGGTTCAGGTCGATTCAGGTCGGGTCAGGTCAGGGGTTGGTTGATTCTCCTGACACAGCTCAAGGAGGCCACTGCAGTCTTGCTTGGTAAGGTTCACGTCAGTCCGCTTGGGGCATAGTCATAGGTCCAAATCTGGTTGGGTTGGGTCAGGACAGAACGGGTCAGGTCGGGCCGGGTTAGGCATGAGCAATGGGTCAGCCCGTCCCAGCCCGTCCCAGGGCGGGTGCTGTGCCGGTCGGGTCGGGTCAAGATTTTTGGGTGGCTGACCCGACCTGAGCTTATAGGTTTGCGCAAACATGTTTGAGTTCGGATCGTGCTCATATCTAGGGCCGGGTCACCAGTGACCCGAGGGCGGGTCGGTAGTTTGTAAGACGAATCAACGATTTCTCCCACCGATTCACGTGGTTTGGCAGATTTTGAGTGCTGGTGTGCGCGGATCGGCAATTTCGGTGGCCTCCGGCAGTACGGGAGGAGGGATTGGGGACAAAGGGTAACTAGGGTAACCCTAATGGTTGACTTCATTTGGCTTAGAATTACCAGAAAGTTGGAAGCAAAAACCATCTCAACATTCACGTTGCCCAACACCTACCGTCGACCACCCCCAACCGCACATTACCGCATTCTTTCTACCGAAACCAATATCTCCTCTTCGCCCGCGTGCCTGCCTCCCATGTGTCCCCTGCCTGCTGGAACCCTTTTCCTGCTTTCCTCATGAGCTCCGCTGGTTCTACCAGATGCTGAAATCACTAGTTTGGCAGCCGTTGCTCAGTACCCTCGAGTCAAATCAGCCGCACCAGGAGCAGCAAAGCTGCAGGCAGCACCCAGCAGCACAAGGGGCACGGTGGAGAATGGTGTGTGTCGTTGCCCACGTGTTCTGGGGCAGAGATTTCATCCCTTGTTCCATCTCCTCGCCCCTCCCTCCTGTGTTGAGGAGCTCTGCTGGTTCGCCCAGATAATGAAATCTCCAGCATGGGCCGAAATATCTGTCATGCAGTACTACAGTACCCTCGTATCAAACCAACCGCGCCAGGAGCAGCGGAGCTGCAGGCCATGGCGATCATAGCACACAGCAGTATGAGAAGCACGGTGGAGAGAAGATGATGTGTGTGCATGCGCATGTGTTCTGGGGCACCCCGCAGTCGACCTTGAGCAAGGATGTGATGCGGATGAGCTGGAGCATGGAGGATGTAGGGGTGAGCTGGAAATCAATAAGACGAGGGCATGAGCTGGCATGCCTAATCTGGAACTGTCCTCTTGTGGAATACTTGTATCAAGAATCGAAACGTCACAAAATTGTGATGTGATCCTTATGGCATAGCTAGCTAACTTGCACTGCCGTATTGCCATCTCAAAATGGTGAAACCCATGCCTAGGAAGGTGTACACCAGGACTAGCACAAGCCACCTCACAGATCAGGTATGGAACGGGGTTTGCGATTCACTGCAACATAAGAAGTGACATATTCACCTCAGTAGTTGGGGTATTGTTGTGCGATATCTCAGATCTGAAAGGGTTCGGGTCATACGACTCTCAAACCTCATACCGTCTGGCCCCGGATATAAGCGCATACGCGCTTATAATTGTTACGAATAGTAATACTTGAATATTACTGTGCACTCCTCACCGCAGCAAAGAGAAGCACGCAGTATCGCGAATGAACGCGAAGCGTCAGACGGTTGGAATCTACTCGAAGCGTCAGAAAGTTGGGACGCATCTGGACCGTCGGAGCAGATAGCATCAGGCAGCTGCAGGCAGGATGGTTTCGGCGGGAACAGTTTCGTAACTGTTCGCGCCGCACGGTTGGGAATGTATTTGAACAAGGGAATGTACCCCATAAAGTACATGGCTAGCTAGGCCGTTTCATCTCCCTTGTACTCATATTTATATTTGTTGTATTTGCATGTTCTAAATCATCTCAAAGCATTTTACATTCACTCTGCTGTTGAGGTCAAGGGCCCACCAACATCACTTCTCTACGTGCGAACCTTCCTGAGTAGATCCTAGGCCACGATCAACTTCTGATCGCAGCATGGTATGAGAGCGGCTCAGGAATCCTTCGCACTACCACTCTCGAAGATTACGACATTCAGAAAGTGGCGTCCGGCACACGCTCACGTGTCAGAATGGCCGGAGGATCTGGTGGTCAGACGAATCTGACGGCTGAAGCGCAGCCCAACCCGGCTGCGACAAGTGAGGAAACGAAGACAATCCCTTCCGCCGTCCTCGCACAACTGCTTCAGCAACTCACGAGTCTGGAGCAAGGACTCCAAACATTGCGGAACGGCGACGCGGGAACCTCGTCCCAACCCACTCAACCGGCGTCAAACGGCCAAAACTCCGCCCCGCAAGGCTTCTCCCTAGATACGAATGGCTCAACCCCCAAGACTCCCTGTCCCAGCAATGAAGCAATTCTCTCCGCGCAATCAAGGTTTTTGAGCATATCGAAAATAAAGGCAAGTGTGTGCTTTGACGGCAGAGACTTTTACACTTGGAGCTTCGAGCTGGAGTGCTGCTGCAAAACGCGCAGATTTATCATTATTTCGACGGGAGCTACTCGGGACCTGCTGAGGA